TATACATATATATATGTAAAACATCAGGGTATTTTACCCTGAATAAAACTAATTTAATTGGCTTCACTTATTATTTATTACTTTTTAACTAAATTCATTAAACTGCTATGATTCGACTTCTACAAATGTTCTGCGGACTCTGTGTTACCATTCGATTTCTAAGCTGTGCCAAGATTGTTTTGCTTAGTAGGCACACGTGCCTTTATTGGTCTACTGTCCTACTTTGGTAAAAAGGGGATTAATATATATATATATATATATATATATATATATATGTAGGACCACTTGACTTCTGGTCTAAAAACGTCCCCACTTGGCGTCCTGCTTAATACATATAAAAACTAAATACTTTCTTAGCGTCACATAACTTCCATACTAAAGTCGACAAAAATAAGATTACTTATGAGTCATACCTTATGAAATTGCAACGTCGCTTTCAAGCAATTGAACTAAAATAAGAAACCATCCTTATTTAAGCATATTTGATACATTACTATAATGAAAGGAACTGCAGCTAGTCTAGGTTTTTGCACAATACACACAATTGTGGGTTTTTGTATCTTCCCCTGACAGGTGGCAAAAGTGATGCATGAAGCAATTTTGTGAAGAAGAAAGAGTATCTTTTTGTTTTGATTTATTATGGACCAAAAAGCCATACAAGAAATATTAAATATTACATAATTGAAACTTAACCTACAATTTATTTCATATCAATAAAACCGGCAGACATGAAAAAATTTTATTTTGAATGTATCTATGCATGTTTGTTTTAATTTAAAATTTACTTATTAAATTAATATTAAGTATATTCTACTTATGTTAATAATAATACCAAATATTTATTTTGCTTGAAGAAAGCTTTTCTCACAAGTGAAACACAATGTTTTTTCTACGACCCTTTTATTTTTCATTATTTTTAAATACAAAACAAAATAACCTAAAAACGTATTTGACAGCTGAATGTCAAACAATGCTGTCAATTTCTTTTCACACAAACATGTCACTTTACATTCGAGTTTTGCCTTGGCAATAAAAAAAAATTCATTTTCTAAGCAACGATGTCATTACGAAATGTGACTCTTACATAGTGGTCGTAGAAAAACTATATTTTTAAAGTGCACTTTTTTGTGTAGGTATTCTTTATTATAATAGGTTTTTGAGTTTATTTATGATTCCAAAGATTTATTTATAAAAAAATATTTTTTTTGTTAAAGTTAAGTTTTTAAAATTGAAAATCTACTTAGGTATTAATAAATTAGATTTGTATTACTTATTTTATGTTATGTTATTGTTGCCATTAAAAATATTATATATACACTATATTTTATTAAATGTTTGGTTATACAATATATATGTACTTACATTTTTATTAGCTTTAAGTTTGAACCAAATTACTAAAATTTATTTTATTCAACACCGCAAGAAACATGTAACTTCGTGACCCTAATGACTGTGGGAGAAATAATTAATGTCCTAATTGTGTATTTCTTCAACCCGTGGGCGAAATGTTACTTTGCCCATGGGATGAAGTAAGTAAGCTTTAAATTAAAATAAATGTCAAATGTCAGATAAAATATCAAATAAAACTGGCTTTAAATTACTTGCGCCATACTTTTTTCGGATCTTCAATTGTTCATGATTTGTTTTTAGACTGATACCTATGTATATTTTCCTGCAAAAGAGCCGTATCAGCCTTAGACGGCAGTATATTTCTTGCGGTAGTTAAATAAAATCTTGTGTGCGACTATTGGTAGATATTACACTTTCGTGGTACCTACCGCACTCGCTACGCTCGTGCGGCTAACTTCACGCTCGAGGAATCTGTTTTTACTCCCACTAGTCGCACATTATACTATTTTTATCATTGTTAACATAATGTGAAAAGGATAAAAAATAGTATATATACACATTATAATGTGCGACTAGTATAATGAAATCTATTTTTAAATGTATTTAGTGAAGTTTGCCATCTGTTGATAACATTCTTTTTGTATTAAAAGTCTACTGATTAAAATAAATAATTAAATGCTTATTTATTTTATATTAAATTATAAAATTTTAAATGTAATTGCTCATACAATATTTATGGCATTAATTTATTATTTGCAAGTTTTAAATCGATATAATTAATTTGATCGAAATATTTGTACTTACTAAAAGTAAATCTCTAAAAAGAATTAATGCAAACCTAAATAGCATTCAATGATTGAATTTCAATCTATTTATAACTTGTTTATATTAACGACACCGTTGTCAAATTTGCTTTTCATTTAAGGGCGCTTGGTAAACCTAAGATTGAAAAGAATGTTATATACACAAGGCGATAGTAGTGACACTCTAACGCAAACTCTTGAATTAAAATATAAACAGAATTCATTAAACGACCAAGTTAAACTCTTTTTAAAATTTAGTTTTTCTGCATCTCACAGCCATCTAGCGCTTATTGGTAAATGTTTTTGGTAGAGTCCAGTCGGCGTCCGTATAAAGGACGCCCAGTGACCAAAGGACGCCGTTTGTATACGAAATTTAACATTGGAGGACGCCTAGTGGGATTATTTATATATATATATATATATATATATATATATATATATATATATATGTTAGGGTAATCCCCTTTTTACCAAAGTAGGACAGTAGACCAATAAAGGCACGTGTGCCTACTAAGCAAAACAATCTTGGCACAGCTTAGAAATCGAATGGTAACACAGAGTCCGCAGAACATTTGTAGAAGTCGAATCATAGCAGTTTAATGAATTTAGTTAAAAAGTAATAAATAATAAGTGAAGCCAATTAAATTAGTTTTATTCAGGGTAAAATACCCTGATGTTTTACATATATATATATGTATATTAGGGTGTCCCAAAAAAAAAAGAATATTTTTTTTCTTCTCGTCTGTGTGAAAATATGTTGGTTTGTCATGTTTTAAGAGCCCTGTCAAAAGATCAGCACCATTAAAAAAATTTTAGGGGTCGCTCAAGATTTTTAAAAATTACCAAAATCGTCAAAAATTGGATTTTTTTTAACTTTAATTTTTTTTCTCGTTCCGATATTATTTTTTAATTTAAAAATAATAATGATTCTGAAAATTTTAAATCGATATTTTATTATTATTTAATATTATATATATATATATATATATATATATAATATTACAAAAATATGTTTAAAAAATTAATATATTTCATCTATTTTTATTCGGAACCGAACCCTTTTACGAGGTGTGGCTTATTATTATTTTTGGCAGTAAGAATCTGTCACTTTCAACCCGCCATTTTAAATAAATAGACTATATTATATACCATATTATATGATACAATCATGTATTTTTCTGTTATTAAGAATTATTTATTTCACCCAACACAAATTATATATAATACCTGTCAGAGGTAAATTCATCTCATTCATCAGATTCATCAGAATCTGAACTAAGATCAGAATTCCCTGATGTTGAATTTACACTTGTAAAAGTCAATAATTTTATTGCATCCGTTGAAAGAATGTTGTTTTTTTTTCGGCGGATCCAATCTCAAACTTGAAATTAATGGGTCTGAGGACACGAGAAACCAATGAAAAAGGTCTGTCATGGTGCTATTCCTAGAGCATTTTCGAGAAAAATATTCACGATATCTCTTAACATCCTTGTTTCGCGATTCTTGGGCCTCCTCAGATATTTGTCCAATTGGCAATGGTGCCCATTCAACAATAAGAGGTCCGTGAATAAGAACCACATGAATTGACGTGGGCATATAGTACCATGGATATAGTTGTACTAACATTTTTGCTGTATCAAAGCAATATTGCTTAAAAAGATTAACATTAATATGCGCCCAATTCACTAAGTCAACGTTTACACTTAAAATTTCGGCTGATTTGGAAGAGTGTGAAAAAAACCTCCGAGCAGTGTTTCCGTCATTGCTGTTTCCAAATCCTCCAACTTTTGGACAATCAACAATCAGCCCAAGTCGAATTTTAAAACCGTGCCTAATAGCTGTTTTTCTTTTATTTAACAAGTTTTTTTCCTCAGCAGAACGCGCTTGCCATTTTTTACTTTCCATTTTGTATCCCAAATGTAAAAAATATTCCATAAAATGTATCCAGGCATGTAAGGTTGCTATACCGAATCGCAAATTATCTTCATCAACTGGCAATGAGAAAACTTCGTCAAGTTTGTTAAATTGCTTGGATGTAGCTTTGCACAAATAGCAGCGCATATTAGATGTTGTTGCAGTTATAGTATTGCGAATCTTTCCATCAATCATTGTGCAAATTAATTTGTAATTAACTACAATTTCCTTCCTGTCTATAATAATTTTATATGGAAGAAGCTCTGCTACCTGATTTTCAACGTATTGTTGTTCTTTTAAAGTAGAATCCTTGTCTTCGCGAATGTATTCAATCTTTATTGGACTGCAAAATCGTGGAGATGACGGCTTTGGATTTTGCCAAACCAATACATTTCGGTCTTTAACTCTTGACAAGCGCAACGGCACTAGTGATGTTAGCAAAATACTTGCGTCTGACGCATTATCGTCCTGAAATTTCTGTTTGTATTGGCTTTGGCCAGAAGATCCATCAAATCCATATTTAACAATCAACAGTAAGTCCTTAACGTAATCTTGAGGTAATGTTTTAATGACATCATTTTGCACTGCTAAAATTCTGCTTGATAGGTGGTCCAATAACGATTGTAGTGGAACTTCTGCTATGGTCTCAGTAATTTTTATACCCGTTGGGTAGCAGCCAGCTTTCGCTTTTTTAACCTTTGAATGCGGAGGATAAACGTGGACACCATTCTGAGACTCCCTTTTGCGAATAATTCTATATGTATGTCTGGTCATTTTACCTTCAACGACATCAGAAAGTTCAAGGTTACCTGAAATTTCTGTCGGGCGTAAAATGGAAGCTGATTTAAGAGCTCTTTTATATTTCAAAGCTTTACTAGGAGAAGTAGTTGTAATGTCTTTGATAACACTAGTAGCTTTAGAGGCTTCGGAAGCTCAAAGACTCATGCGTGCTGCAAATGTCAACTGAGCCGTGCTGTTTGATTCACGCAAATCTTTTTTAACCCTCCGTTTTGTTCTTTCACTCATGTCCTCGAATTTCTTGGGAGGTCTACCCATATTTTTTGAGCTTGTAGAAGGTTTAACTTGATCCTCCCACTCCATTTTTTCTAATTCGATAGTTCGCTGGATCTGCAAAACGTACATCAATGTTGTTAAACAATAATAAGTTAATTTGGCGTCACATACCATTAATGTTATATTCCTCTTTAACCATTCCTCGTTTCTATCTACAAAATATTTTCGGTTCCTCGTGCATTCCATCAATTTTCTTTTTAAAGTTTTAAAAAGATCTTTTAACACATTTCTTTCACCTGGATAAAATGTAAGTAGAGACACTGTGTATGTTCTCGACCGGAAGTGACCCAGACGCTACGTGACGTCAGCAGTAGGCAGTTCTCGATGGTGGCGCCCCCTGGTGGGGTGGTGGGGGGTGATCATATTAGCTATTGGTGGGCAGCCATTTGGGCAACGCCCTCAACTGATAAACGTAAGTGAGCCTATTGGTGGGCTGTTGGCGGATGGCGGCTGGCGGCCATGTTTGATAGATATTAGCTATTGGTGGATGGGCGTTCCCTTTAGTGTTGTGGTTGGTTGTGGGCGGGGGATGTGTGTTTAGTTGGCATTACTGGAGATGCAAAAGATAAGCGATATGCATATTGGTTGTTTGTGGTTAGCGTATTAGTTTGGTATTACTGGAGATGCAAAAGATAAGCGATATGCATTTGCTGACGATGGGCGTGACTTAACAGTGGTTTGATATCCGGGGGGAGATAAGGATTTATTATTATTTTGTTGTAAATTTTATTTTTGACGCCATTTTGAATTGCTGGATCCCGACTTGTCCCGAGTTGTTCGGCAAGTTTCGGGGGTTTTAATGCGGTGTGGTATCAGTTATTTGGAGATAAGGATTTATTATTTTGTTGTAAATTTTATTTTTGGTACCATTTTGGCTGACGTCACCCCAACTTGTCCCGACAAGTCTATTTATTGTCCAGAGATCTTTTTCGGTGATCAGTCTTAATATTGTTTGCAGTATTGATAATGGGGTTTAAATCGTTATTAATATTTCTGCTAAGTATAATTTTGGTAAAATCAAATAATTTAACTGATAAAGATGTTGTAATAAAACATCTCGAAACATTTGGCTACCTTAATAGTTCAGAGTTTTCGTTGACTAATTATGAAGAAGCTTTAATATTATTTCAGGAGAGATATAATTTAAACATAAGTGGTGAAATAACGAAAGACCTTTTAGAATTTATAAAAACACGTCGTTGCTCTATACCAGATGAAAATATTTATGAATTGATGCAAAACCCACCTAAATGGAATAAACATAATATATATTGGTATGCATATAATAGAGAGATAAAAAAAGCCGCTACTAGAGCTTTCAATGAGTGGGAAAAATTTGTAAATCTAAAGTTTATTTTTTCGTTTAGAAATCCTGACATTCTAATTTCATTTGGGAAAAAATAACCATAGTAATTCAGTTCGATGCATGAAGGGTTATTGTATATCACCATTTGATGGAAAGGGTACTGTAGTTGGTCACGCATACCACCCAAGTCATATTAATTCCTGTACGGAAATTCATTTAGATTCAGATGAAAATTGGTATTTTGGTTTCGATATACCTGAAGATAATGATAAAACAAGTCTATATACCAGTCATTCATCAGATAATAATGCACTAATGTACCCATATTTTTCACCAAATATAACAACCCTATCCGATGAAGATAAAAAAAATATACAAAATTTATATGGATTACCCCCAAAAACTACTCCAAAAATAGTAACATCAACAACCCCAAAAACTACTCCAAAAATAGTAACATCAACAACCCCAAAAACTACTCCAAAAATATCAACAACAAAAACAATTCCAACAACAAGGAAACTCACAGGTAAACCAACAACAAAAACAATAAGCAGACCCAAAATAACAGATTCTACGCAAAAACCTACACATCAAATTTAACTGATTTATGTCAAATCGAGCATCCACAAAAAATGTTAGTAACCAATAATAATCATCTATATGTTTTTCACAATGGTTTAGCGTGGATTTTAAATATAGGAGAGCCCTCCGGCATAAATCTTAAAAAGCCAAAAAAAATTAGTGATTTTATAAAATATAATGATTTTTTACATATATACCAAAAACCTAGTGGTAGTGTGGTAATAATAGATAATTTAAAACGTGTTAGTACGTTTTCTTTTCCTAGTCTTGCATGTGAAACATTTAATCAAACAATAGACAAATTTAATATTGCTCGAAGTAGCAACATAAATGCCATTTTTAACTCAAACAGAGGTAGAACTTATATTATTCATGATGATTATTGGGTTACTGAAATTGATGAATTTAGTTTAAATGCAGTCAATCGGGGAACTATAAACCAGTTTTTCCCAGGAATCCCTCCAGATATATCTTCAGCATTTCGCTATACAAATGGTAACATTTATTTTTTTTTTTAATTATTTTATGAATATAACGAATTTTCTGGTAAATTAATAAAAGCAGGAGTTTTTGATTGGAGTTTATTTGGAATAAATTGTCCGAATGAAACAATTTTAAATCAATTAAAAAATATATTAACATCCCTTTCAACATACTTTTATTAATAATTATAAAAGGTTAACTTTATTTAAAAAAAAAATCATTTCAATGTTGACTTTTAAAGGTGGCGGTTTATTAAATTCTGCAATTAACAACCTATCCTTTGAGCTTCACGTGCCTTCTTATCAATTTTGCGGGCCAGGTACTAAATTAGATAAGAGAATTCAAAGGGGTGATACTGGTATAAACCCCTTAGACGCTGCATGTAAAGATCACGATATTGCTTATTCAAAAAATAAAAATTTGGAGGATAGGCATAAGGCGGATTGGATTTTGGAAAATAAAGCTTGGCAAAGGGTGAAATCCAAGGACTCTAAATTGGGGGAGAAAGCAGCAGCTTGGTTAGTAACAACTGGAATGAAGGTTAAAAGAAAACTTGGAATGGGCGTTCGAAAAACTCGAAAACCAATCTCATTTAAATGTGGTTTGGTTGATAAAATTAAAAAACATGTTGAAGATTTAGATATGTCCAATAAAAATTCGCTTAAAAAATCTACTGCAACGGCACTTAAAGCAGCTCGGGTGATTATAAAGAAAGCCGGGGGTCGTAAAAATATTAAGGTGCCTAGGATAATTCCATTTGAATCCGACAAACAAGGTGGGTTTTTACCTCTTTTACCACTATTCGCAGCCTTAGAGGCCATAGGATCATTGACTGGAGGCGCAAGCGCTGTAGCCAAAACGGTGATAGACACAAAAAATGCTAAAAAGAAACTTGAAGAATTAGGTCGACATAATAGGGCTATGGAGGAAATTAGGAAAAAAGGCTCGGGATTATATTTAAAAAGGAATGTCAAGGGAGGATATGGTCTTTTTTTAAAACAAAAAAACTACCAATAAAGCTACCCAATAGAGCTCTATATGATTCTGAATTGGTAAAATATGCACAAAAGCTTAAAATACCCTATTTTAGAGGGGTTTTTATGCGAGACGATTTACCAAAAATAAAAAATAAAAATGAATCTGCAATCCTAAATTTAGACATTTCGAAAAATTTGGGTACACATTGGGTAGCTTATACTAAAAGAAACAATTCTGTTATTTATTTTGATAGTTTTGGTGGTCTTAAACCACCAAAAGAATTAGTAAATTATTTAGGAAAAAATGTTAAAATTAATTATAATAATGATTGTTTTCAAAACTTTAAACAAATTAATTGTGGCCATTTATGTTTGTGGTTTCTTTATAAAAATAAATGAGATAAGAAAATATGATTAGTCTATTATTAACCGTTGTTTAAAGATAATGTCCTAGCTATTTACATTAAAAAGTAATAATTATGTTTTAAGTATATATTTTACAAATCCAATACAACTTAATCCAGATTTTGACTACGGTATAGCTTTAATAGGGTTTTATTCCTATAACAGCATCCCTAATATTGAAGAAGGTGAAAATACATTTTATTATAAAGAAGCGAATGTGGATAAGAAAATAATAATACCAACTGGTACTTATGAAATATTAGATATAGAAACTTACCTAAGACAACAAATTATTCCTGGCACCGTTAAAAAGGAAGATTATGATAAATATTTTTCACTTAAACCAAATAATAATACTTTAAAGTGTGAAATTCAAAGCAGTACGTTGGAAATAGATTTTACACAAGCAGATTGTATAGGAAAAATATTAGGATTTTCAAAGCGTACTTTAACACCTGGTAAAAAACACGAATCAGATCTACCTGTTAATATAATAAAGGTTCGAACCATTCACATTGATTGTAATATATCCACAGGTGCATATTATAATTACCTACCAACGCATACCATTCACGAATTTTCGGTAGACGTTGATCCGGGCTATACAATCAACGAAATTCCCCGAAACCTTATATATTTACTAATAATAAATAAACAAGAAATATTTAATATTACTTTGGTAATTTTAAATCAAGATTTTAAGCCAGTTAATTTTCGTGGAGAGGAAGTAATTATTCGTTTGGAATTAAAAAAATTATCATAATGGGGTTAACATTCAATAATTATTATAAAAATCCTAGCACAAACAATTTGAAATCAGTTGACAGCAAACGCGTGCCTAGTTCAAACAACCTTAGTCATTCAAATCGACTCTTTCTACAATCACTAGGCTATCATGTCAGACCAAATCCATACCACTATTAAAAGTAAATACATCTTTTGGAGGTGAATTTTTAAAAATTGAGTTAAATAATGAAATAAAGTATTTTAGTACAAAAAATATTGTTATAGATGGCAGCGTAAATTTAAAAAATTGGTTTCAAGATAATGTTGTAGATAAAATTTTAAACAAACTTAGCGAGTTCTCCGAGAAAGTGTCAGGATGGGCATTAAAAAAAGTTTTAAGTTTAGAAATTAACATAAATAAGTATAAGGTTGGTAACGGTTCATCTTTCATTAGATTACCTGAAGAAATTGCTAAAAAACATGCTTGTGTAAATGTAAAAAATTATGATGATGATGCTTGTTTCGCTTGGGCTGTTATAGCAGCTTTACACCAAGCAAAAACTCATGTTGATAGAACTTCATCATATCCCCATTACGAGGATGTGTTAAATTTTGCAAATATTAACTTTCCAATATCAATTCAAGATATTTCCAAATTTGAAAAATTAAA